CCTTTCATCGTTACAGGTGATTGATTTAAATAAAGCAGTTGCGGAAGCATTCCCAACAAATCGAAACCTTATTGTTGATGCGGAAATGCTGCTGGTCGACACCAAAAGCGGCAAACCATTACCATTCGGAACAATGGGTGTCCATAAAAAGAAGCAATTTACCGATGCTGTTGTTTGCTTATTCGTATTTGACTGTATATATTACGATGATCGATCTCTGATGGAAAAGTTCGTTTACATTTTGTTGTAGACTATAGAAAAGTTTTTATTATTTTTTGGTACAAAATTTTCTTGGTAGCTTAAAAATGCTTTTTTTTTTTATAAATTTTTAGCCGAAGTGGCCCCTTCGGGGTGTCATTCTTTCTCTTTTCAAGTTAATCTGGATGCTACAGTCGGCTTAACATCTTGAGAATATTTCGGTAGAAATTACTTTTTTTCAGGCCTTTACGGGAGCGTCGAAAATTTTTGGAGGAACACCTGAAAGAAGTGCCAAATCGCGTTCTCCTATCCAACAGTTACCTTGTCAAAAAAGGGGTAAGTTTCGGGAGTTGTTAGTTTTAAGGGGTTTTCCTCGCTTTTGCCTTTATAGTTCTTTGTTTTGTCTTGTATGGCACTAAAAAATTTTTGATTATTTAGGAAAATGAGAAGCTAAAAGCGCTAATTTGGAAAGCAATTGATGAGGGCCTCGAAGGACTGGTAATGAAAGATTTAGATTCAGTATATGAACCTGGTAAAAGGCACTGGCTAAAGGTATCTGTTATGTTTTTGTCGTTTTTATAAGTTTTGCTTACCATCGTTGTCAAATTCAAAATCTTTTCATATTGGCAAATTATGAAAAGTGAAAACATTTGAAAACAACCGGAGTGAAAATACAAGCCAGAAGGATCATCCAAGACTGTCGATGGGCCCTCTCTTTGGAAAATTGCTTACAAGCAAGCTGATGGCGGGTTTGATTTCCCAGTACCTGTTTATCACCGGAACAAGTGAACGAATTTTTTTTGGGGGGGGGAGCAGTTATCCTCCGGGCGGAATCGAACCTCGGCTTTTAGCACAAAAGCAGCACTACTTGCAACTGTACCATGCTGTGCTCGTCATTGCTTCCTCTTCCTCCTCTCCTCTCTCACTCTGTTTGCTCTCTTTCTCTAATTCCTCTTTCTTTCGCATATTCATCTTGCAAAGTAGTCACATGACTGTTCAGCACGTGACGGGTTGATGCCGTATTGATGATTCCCGCTCCTATCCGCATGCATAGTTCGGTCTGTGTTTACAGTTAAGGGATGAAATAACAGACTACATCGGAGAATGTTCTCCGGCACATGACACTTAAGTCCAATCCTTCTATTCTACTATTTATTTATCATTCGAGTACTGACCCGAAATAGACGAAGAAAACGTCCCTGAATTCAAAATCCCGAATTTGATGAGTGGACCGAAGCATTCCTGCTCATCTAATTTTTTCTTTATTATTTTAATATAATTTTATTTATTATTTAATATAAAACTAATTAATATAATTTTTTGTTTTTCTAGAGATCATAACATCTCTGATCGATTTTAGTGGCAAAAGTTCCCTTTGATTTCAGTTCCACTTAACTTCTTATTAGGAAAACTGTGTATTTATCGTACTAACCAAAAGTATAGGGTAAGACTTTATTGAAGGAATTGCATTTTATATTTGTGATGAGCTCTGCGTTTGTGAACAAAATTGGTATTTTCAGGTGAAGAAAGATTACCTTGAGGAAGGAGCGATGGCTGATACTGCAGATCTCATTGTTCTTGGTGCTTATTACGGAACTGGAAGTAAAGGTATGTTTAAAACATCGTAAAAATATCTTCAAATCCATCCGAGCATGTTTTCTTAGATTTTGATAAGTTTTTGATCAATTTTTTTAGGTGGCATGATGTCAGTGTTTTTAATGGGAGTTTATGACGAGAAAACCAAAAAATTCTGCACTGTTACAAAATGCGGTAACGGCCATGATGATGCCACATTGGATCGTATTAATAAGGAGCTAACACCAAAGGTAATTTGAACATATACCACGAACAACCACGCATTTCAGGTCGTGAACCCACGTGTTAGTGATATTGCTGGGGTTTTGCCCAGCTACTCTATTATTTGTTCACGATGAAATACCAAAACATTATTCGTTCCATTGCTCTCACCCTCATAGCCAGCGTTCGCTCTTCTGGTTTCATCAATGTATTCAGAAATTTGATCTCAAAATTAGTCATAGACCACATTTTTTTCATTTCGTTGAATTAAAATCTTTCTTTCCCATTAATCTTAGGTGAGCCAATAACGCCAAACAAACAGCATATGTTAACAAATAGAAGATTTCAGGCTCCCGTTTTCTTCCAGTCTCCTTCCCAAGAATATTCACTGTTTGTATCTTTAAAATTTCTACAACACTTAATGTAGTAAGGCTACTTTTCTCGAGAGAATTCTATTTTTACAGCTGTAGCTGTAACTTTTGCGATAGCCTTGACCAATACTGAATTGCCTGATGATCAACTTGGCGGTGGTCTTGATGTCCATTTTGTCGCATGAAGGAGATTACTGTTTCAGCGGTTCTCTTATCAGAAGCACTTGGCCAGCTTTTGCCGGTTTGAGATGTCCTGATGCATAGGTGGATCCAGGGCGGTCTCCTGGGAAGGGACGATTTTTCACCTTACCTTCTTCCTTCGTTACTACAGTCCCCCACGGACAGCTTCCACTCCACATTTCACTCGCCGCACTGCCCAGCCTATCCCCTCCC